AGCGGGATTGGCCTAGGGGGGGATTTTATAGGGATTTTAAAGGGATTTTATAATTTTTCTAATACAGGTTAATTAATATATATTTTAATTTGGCTTTTAAATATTTATTGTATAGCTCTGTTTTTATTTACCTGTAAGCCGCCCTGAGTCCCTCGGGAGAAGGGCGGGGTATAAATTAAAGTAATAATAATAATAATAACTCCAATGTTATTTTTGTTTTTATAAAAATATGGGAGTAATATAAAAATATGCCATTGATATACAATCAGGTAATTAACATTGAGACCACCTTTATAGACTATAGCTACAGTCTATGTGATTTGTTGCTTTTGATTTAATATTTTCATACAATATGGCAACTACCTAATAGTTTATCCTTTCTGCTCAGTCTCACCATTATGCAAGCATAGTGATGGCCTTGTGGAGGTGGTTCGTAAGAATGGATTTGCCCTTGTTACCTGCAGAGGTTTGACAGAATTTTCTTTTATTATTTTCATTTCTTAAGTATGATTTTGTCTTTGTTTGATTACTTACGAAAAATGTTCCTGCCCTTGCCTAGATATATATGGCAAGTGTTGTTCTGCCTATCACATACAAAATAACAAAAGCTTGTATTATGTCCTTGAAATACAAAAGTGATTCTTCTCAGAAGCTCTGGAGGTAAGCACGATGCTGTGTAGTTGATATACTTCAGGCAATATTTCTACTTATAATTATTAGTTTGGCTGTATTCTTCTTCTTTTTTATATATGGATCTTTTTTATATCCTTGACCATATGTTCTTAGGAAAACAAAAAACCTTAAAAGAAATAGAATAAAACTTTTCTCTAAGAATGGAAAATCGAATAAATACAGAATTGGGGAGAGTTGGCTTGGCAGCATACAATGTGAGAAAGACCTAAGAGTGGATCATTAGTTGGCCATCAATAAACATGTTAGGCCAATGCAGTTATAATATACATTAACAGATATATTACATGTGAATATAAAAGGTAATAGTTGCATTGTGTTCGGTGCTGATCAAGCTGCACATTCATTTTCATTTATTCATTTAAGAAATCTATACACTGCCCAACCTGAATCCCAAGTAATTCACAAAATAAATAAATACACAAAACAGATTAATTGTTCCATTAAAATAAATACAAACTCTTAATAGACTGATAGGAACTCAGAATTATTACACTTCTCCAGATGTGTATTATTACAGATCTCCAGATACCCCATTAACTGGAGTGACGTCAAAGGAGAATTACCAGTGTGTAAACAATAGTTAAATAAATAGAATAAAACAGAACATTAGTATGAAGTATTATAGCAACATAAAAATATTTAAATGCTATCATATTCAAGAAGAGTCAAGATATATTCTCTGTTAAACTAAGTCCAAGACAAGGACCAACACACTGACATTAAAAGAAAAGGTTAAATCTGAATACTAGGAAAAATATTCCTATGTTAAGGGCTCTTAAGCAATTGAACAGCCTGCAGGAAAAATAGCACGAGAAATTTGCCAATAGGGAGTGATAGCCACCTATCACAGATGGCTTAGTGATTTCTTGCACTGAGCGGGGGACTGGACTAGACCACCTGTGAGATCTCTTCCAATTAATAAATTCTATTATGAAAAGCTGCCAACTATTTTGTCACCCTTAAATTGGGAAAAACTATGGTAAGAGATACAAATTTTCTACTTGGTTTTCATAAATTTACTTTGTTTTATCATTACTTGATAAAGAGAAAGAAGAATATACTGTACCCAGGATTAAGAAAACAATGAAGTTTAATTGTATGACAGTGTGATATGCTGTTACATAGAATGCTACTGTTTATAAGGTAGCATTCTATGTAAATCAGGTAACTATGAGTTGTCAGCCAAGGAAGGTTTAACTTAAAAATTCTGGTTTAGTCTTACACATGAAATTAGCTAAACAATGTAAGCTTGTTTCCCCTGTAAGTGAAAGATTAATGACAAAAAAATGAATATATACACAGAACAAATAAAACTTCTATAACTAATAGCTTAAATTCAACACTACCAATGTAAACCAACTTCACATAAATGCATACGAATACTGCATTAGTACATTCTAAACATTAACCATAGCATCAAATGGCTTAAAACACTAATATGTTAATTATTAGTTTCGGTTCTCCATTTTGGAATCATTATTGTCTTCAATTTTTTTCTTCAAATATTTGTTTATTTAAGAAAATGTATATGGCCACCCAACTCACTACCAATGGTGGACAGCTGGGCATCTTACAAAGATAAAATCCCAATAAATAAATAACAATAAAAAGCAATAATCCACCCCTACCCCATGGTGACAAAGTCAATCAAATAAGCCACTTGAAGGGCTACATCCCACTCTAGGTTTCCCATGCTCGTTGGCAAAATCAGGTCTTCAGGGTCAGTTGTGAAAGAGTTTCAAAGTGAGGACCAATCTTATTTCTGTGGGGATGTTTCAGAGAGGAAGCTACCACAGAGAAGGCCTTGGTCCCACTAGATTTAAATATAGACAGTCCTCAACTTACAACCACAACTGAGCCCTAATTTCTGTGCTAAGTGAGACCTTTGTTAAGTGAGTTTTGCCCCATTTTACAACTTTTCTTGCCACAATTGTTAAGTGAATCCCTGCAATTGTTAAGTTAATAATATGGTTGTTAAGTGAATCTGGTTTTCCCATTGACTTTGCTTGTCAGAAGATTACAAAAGGCAATCACATGATCCCGGGACATGATCCCATCGTCATTAAATAAGAGTCAGCTGTGGCAAGCGTCTGAATTTTGATCATATGGCCATGGAGATGCTACAACAGTTGTGTGAAAAATGGTCATAAGTCCATTTTTTCAGTGCTGTTTTAACTTAGAATAATCACTAAACTGTTGAAAGTCCAGAACTACCTGCATACATTCAAATATCTTTACACCCTTAATCATCCTTCTTGCTATACCTATCTTCCATTGTGTCAACAACTTACAAAGGGAACGGATCTACAGAAACCAAGAAATACCCATATTCTGTATATGGAGTTATTCCCATATAAAAATGATGAATGATTGTCTGTAAGGCTCACTGTCACTGTGTTTGAAAGACAACAGTAGATTGCTACAATATGATATCACACAAAGAAACTCAGTTCAATTTAAATCCCAAAAATCAATGGGGCTTCAAGTCCCTTAATTTGGAATCAGATCATGCTCATTTTAATGGAAAATATTTTATTATAAGCATGCTTAAATTTGTCAACTTGCTAAAAATGTACCAACTTGCTAAAAATATATATTGTCTAAAAAAATCAATGTAATCAAGGACTTGTCAAGTTGATGGATTCCTCATAGGTTCTGCATGGTGGCTCCAAATGTCAAGCAACTTAAAATAAACAGAAGGAAGATACACTAATAAATTAATATTATGCAACCTGTGCCCTTTTCAACTGTGGTCCATAAATACAAATTGTGCTAATACCAGTGTGCTTTTTATTCTAGAAAGTTTCAGCACAGAGGCTTGAAATTAAATCTGCATAATCTATTGCTGTCCAATGAGGTATTTTGCATTATCTCAGTAGTCAGATGCTAAAACTAGAATCATAACATAGCATTTTATTCCCAAAGAGAGAAACAGGAACCACATCCACCAATTTTAAATACAAAATTAATAACATCAATTCCCAAACCAAGTCTGGCATCTATCTAAGACCTGAAAGCCTCCAAGGCTATTCTCAAATCTGTTTTTTTCCTATCTTTTCAACAATGAAAAAGGAAAAACCCACAAACATGTATGCATTTCTTTCCTGGAGAGGGAATGAACTTACTTTGTCAAATCCTAGCTCACATGCTGAATTAGATGCCTGCTGGAAAGCCTCCATTTGTTCTTGTTCATCATGTGCATCCCATAGGACATCTCCAAACATTTCTTCTTCGGGAACTGAAGAGTCATCATTATCAGTTACATCTTTCGTCTCTATATGTGAAACTTCACAGCCCAATATATCCTGTATAAGAATAGAAGCAAATCCTATGAAACCATCATGAGTCTTCTTTAAGGGCAGTTTCTAAAAGACAGTATTTCAGGCTCTGGTTTCCTCTCCGGCATGAAAAAAGGATCTTCGCAATTTGTTCACATATAAGAACATTGTGGAACTTCCAAATTTTGGAGAGAGAAAAAAAGAATTTTGGTCTGATTCAGTTAATAAGATGACCTACATAGTATCCTCCCTCTTTTAACAAGTATACCACAGAGTAGACTATATACTGTATGTAGCTCAGTCTGGAACTGTTGTACCATCCATACAACAGAGTCGCTTTATGTTCTTATTTAATTCAATAGTAACAAAAGCCAAAATTAACAAAGGATTACCTTAGCTGTCATCTCACATATTTCTGGAACAGAAAATTCTGTATTTTAACACTATATTATGCTATCCCAGAAATTAAAGCATTAGGTTATAAATATTTTTAAATCTACAGGAAAAAAAACCCTGCATCGTAAATGACATGTAGATAAACTAGATACTTTCAGAATATTGGCAGATACTCGTTTTTTTGAAAGATAAATATTAAAGTGATCTAGTCAAACATCAGACAGTATAAACCAGCCAATAAGTATTTAGCATAAGCTGCTTTTTAGATAATTATCCTGACATGGTATTTGAATTTGCAAACACTTTCATCCTATTCATGCTTTATATGAATATTTAAAGCATTTTAGATGTAAAGTTCAAAGCCATAATTAAATGTTCTGACTTATGAAAACAGAATCAATGTGTTACAATTAAAAAAGAATTAGAACATTTATATGCTGCTTTTCCATCATCCACATAATCTTCAGTGCAAGATAATACCTGCTTTATAATCTTTTCCACATAACTATATACTTCATATGCTCCTTCCTCTAATCCTCCCATGTGGTTGATGATCTTAGGGGAAAAGAAAGAAATCATTATTAAAAGATTAGGTCATCTTATAACAGACAAGCTTTAATAACAGAAAGATTTATAAGGCTAGTTTTATATTCAACAAAATTTACATATTTCTGATGAAGGCCAGGTTCTTAATGCAAACAACAAATACATATAAAAAGCCTGAATGAAGCCTATGATACTTAAACACAAAAATCAAAAGATTGTAGAGATGCCCAGAAAAAACAGTTCAAGATATCTTTATTCTCTAAATCAATGTAAAGTACTTTTTAAAAGCATAAACTAAACACATTTGATTAGTACATACCTGCTTATTAGATAAATTGATCATTGTACCACTACATTTCCCCTAATAAATTTCCTGTAATGTAGGAGTTTGATACTCCACAATGATGGACATTCAGTTATGAACTATATACCTTTAGCTTTCTAGAGGCAGCATTCTACATTCAGTATGAATAAAAAGGGTAATCTGGATGAAAATTTACATTAAATTATATCTTGAAAGAATTTTTTTATAAAATGATGTATCATAGGTATTTGACCACCAGATAGACTAGCGAAAATGTATAAAGGAATTTCTAATAAGTGCTGGAAATATAGTCAAAATCCAGGCTCATTTTATCACGTGGATTAAATGTAACAATGACAATGCAGAAAATATTTAAGATACAAATATTAATGAATATTTTGTTTAGGTATGATGAACAAACCAACTGAAAAACCCTTTGGGATGCTATTCCTTTATATTGTGACAGCTGCGAGGATTGTACTTGCCAAACACTGGAAAGAAAAAGGGATGTCAACTGTTGAAGAATGGATTTTGAAATTGACTGAATTAGCAGAGATTGCGAAATTAACTGCTTTGATTAGAGATAATGGATTTGACAGCTTTAAAAGAGACTGGAAATTGCTTGTGGACTTTTTATGCACTAAATACAACAAAAGATGATTAACAGAGGGATTTGAAGATTAGTGTAATGTTTAGCTTAACCTGTTGACTGCTTTTCGTGTGTGTGTGTGTGTGTGTGTGTGTGTGTGTGTGTGTGTGTGTGTGTAAAAGGGGATGAGAATTTATTGTTTTTTTCATTTTTTTTAGCACCGTCATGGTGTATTCTATATGTTAAGTGCTAAATTTATTTGGTATTTGGATCACCTTTTTCTCTCTTTTTTTGTACACCTCTTTTGTGTTTGTGTTGTTACTCCTGAATGTATGCTTTTGTTTTATTTCATTTTGTGTTTTTCTGTTTTGTATTTTACCTTTTATGATAAAACAAAATAAACAAACAAACAAATAGGGTAATCTGCAAATCCTGTTAATACCATCTGTTACAACTATATTACATAAACAAAAAGGTACCAATCACAGTAAATGTAGGTGTTTTGCCTCATTACCTTTGCTTTGTTCACAAAATGAACTTGCTCAATTAATTGCTGCACAGAATCTGAACTGACTTGACCATCTTCTAGCCGGTGGTAAATGAGCCGAGGTTTTCCTTCAGGATTTTTCAAAAAGGCTTCTTCACACTCATCCAGTAGATACCTAGATTAGAAATCAGCATTCTTGTGCTATAATACTTTGCTGCAGTAATCAGTGTTAGCCGAAGATTGTATTTTTCTAAAAGCTCCAATCAAAATGGTCAAACATCAAGCATTTCTAAAAACCAAGGACAAAAGTTTATCTACTCTACAAATAACTACTATAAATATTAATTTTACAAAGAATAAAGCTAAAAGGATAGCCAGATCATTTAAGTTCAACAGCAATTTAAAACTTCATAGGATCCCCCATTCTTACCTTAAACTGCATAAAGTTGAATGTCTCCCCCAAATATGTTTTCTCACATTTCTCACATAGGAATTGCATCAGATCATCAATCATGAATATGATAAAAGTACAAAATTTACAACGATGCCATATAACAGGGTGCGAACACTTTGTTCAGTATTGCCCATCAAGACAGTGGTATTCAGGATTTCAGAAGTCTTTGCCCAATCCTATCAAAGATGTCACGGACTATATACAGAACCTTCACTTTCATTTTTCAGTTATCCATATGAGATCTACTTGTGCTTCAGATCTAGCTTTGACTGCCTGATTTAGATTATGCCTACTATGATGGTTGAAAATATCCCCACAGAAAAAGCCCTTTTCATAGAAAACTATGGTGGGAAATTTCTGAGCAAGACAGTATTGCACAGCACTGTTTCCATTCCTAACTTCTCCAAATCAATAGGAAAGTAAAATAATAATAATTTCATGCAAAAAGGAAAATGAATTGCTAGGAAACCTACTCTACATTTCCAAAACATATATTGCACATTTGCTTCTTTTAAGAATTAAAAAAAATTATATTAGGTTGCCAAGCCATAATTTTCTTTGTTGAATTTAACAGCTTGTTAGCACTGATTGAGACAAGAAAGCATGCTGACAATTCTGCAACCAGGGTTTTGTTGTTGTTGTTGTTGTTGTTGCACTGTCTGGAGTGGAAAAGACAAAAAGATGCAATATAAATAATGCCTATGGATATGTTAAGGTATGGGTAAGTACCTTAACAAGATGCTGAAGATTGACAGTGAGGGGGTGAATAAAGATAGAAGTCTCACTTCTCTCATAAGAGACAGAAATAAAACCCAAATTCTTGCTCCAATTTATAAGGTACAGCTAAATCTACACAGCTATCTGGCATTTTGAAGTCAACTGGTGCTGTACCAAAAGAAACAGAGAACCAGGGAACCCAGTACTCTTACAGCTATAGTTGCATCTGCAAAGGGACAAAAAAGCCAGACCAATTCTGGCTGTGTTTTAAAGAAAAATTAACAAGATGGCAAGTACTGTTTTGGTTCTATACAAAATATTTCTAAATGAAGTGATGAAGTCATTAAACTACTTTTCTTCTTTAGAATGTATGAATAACAGAATAACAGAGTTAGAAGGGACCTTGCAGATCAGTCCAATCCCCTGCTCTGGCAGGAAACCGTATACCATTTCAAACAAATGGTTGCCCAATTTCTTCTTAATGTTTAATACAGTAGAGCAGTGGTTCTCAACCTTTTTAATGCCGCGACCCCAACCGGTCGTAAGTCAAGGACTAAACCGGTCGTAGGTCGAGGACTAAACCGGTCGTAGGTCGAGGACTACCCAATCGGTCGTAAATCAAGGACTTTCCCTGCCCGGGAGCGCCGTGCATGCGTGGTTCCGCCCCCTGCACCGGCCGAGGCGTAGCTGGCAAGCAGCAGAGACGGAGCAGGCCGACCACCAGCTGGCCCAGCCCAAGGGAGGTAAGGCACCCACCGGAAAAGGGGAAAAAAATGGCGGACAAAAAAAATGGCAGACAAAAAAAATGGCAGACAGCCTTGCTTGGCGACCCCCGTGAAATGGTCGATCGACCCCAAATGGGGTCCCGACCCACAGGTTGAGAACCACTGCAGTAGAGTGCTATGAAAACTAAAGTTCAGGAATCAGGAGCAGGAAGAGGCAAAAGTTCCTGCCATGAAGCTGCAGAGCTGCATCATTGCAAAGGAAGAGGAGGAGGAGGAGGAGGAGGAAGAAGAAACAGCAGCAGCAGCATCATTTGGGTTTTAGATACACTGCAGGTGAGCTAAACATTTATCGGTTCAGTTGCCAAATACAAATGGAATGGAATACAGATTCCCTATGTGGAAATGGCCATTATGGCAGAAAGTTATTTTGGCAAGGGTTTGCCTGCTGTTTTGAGCGCAAGGCTAAAACTAAACTTGTCCAATCTTAATGCTCATTTTAGAGCATTGTGAGAACATGTTCCAAGCAAAACTGTTCTGGAGTCAACTAAATCTTCATTTCTGATATGAACAACTTTGTTTGATTGGGGGAAGGATTTTTTCTGTATTATTCATTACATTTTGTTTTCATTCAGCAATCACTGGTCTTTTAAGATAAATTTATTTTAAAATCTTTTATTGGAAGCTTCATTTGGCGTCCTTTCTACATATAAAATCAAGTAACTAAATACACTTTGATTAGAATATGCAAAGAACATGGCTGTTTTTAACATATTGAAATTATTAAAATGTATAGAATAAAAGGTTGCACATTTTCATTACTATAGATCTTGATATTCAGAAAAACTGCAGACAACTTTTATCAGAAAATGTCAATAATTTGAGTGTATTTAAAACTATGTCCCAGGTATTTATTGAAATGTAATTCAATAATGTTCTCTTTTACCTGGATATCTTTCTTTAAAATATTCCTCTACTTTTCTTCCAAAAAACATTCAAAATTACTCTTTCTGTTTATGTTTTTTATTATTAAAATAATATTATTTTATTAACTCACCTTGGTAGACTTAAATGTAAAAACAAAATTGTTAGAGAACTTTTCTCAATTTCCCATTTCCTTACAGCATGTAAACAACTCTCATTTTCTACTGGAAAATAGACAACTTGAAAAAAATACTCCATTGTCTCACAATATTTCTGAAGTTTTGGAGAATATTTCTGAAATTTAAGAAAAAAATAAAACAAAAACTGCTTCATATATAAAGCTAAGCTATAAACCATAAAGCAAATTTGTATAGTTTACAGATCAGAAAACTGGATTTGCACATCATTCTAAACCAAAGCTAAATAAACTATATATATATATACCGTATTTCTATAATAAACTGGGGTTAATATAAACTATAGCTGAGAATTATACTTACTTCTGACCACAAATTATTCTCAAAGTATTATTATTATTGCATGATTAAACCTAATAATTACTCTGGATCCAGGAAAAGTCCCTACTTTTTTTCAGTCTGTTTACACTGGATCTTGTAATTTACTAGCAGCAACTGATAATTTGTACATATCAAAAGCATCCCCAAAGATTGCCTTTTCCATAGCAGATCTTTCAAATTGGTTCATATAAAAAAATTAAAAGCCTCCCTAAATTCAAAGACAAAATTTAAATGCATTACAAAATAAAATATAACAATTACAACCAGAGAAATAAGCATTATTACCAAAACATAATGAGAACAACAATTTCAGACCAAATACTAAGAATAAATAGCACTGCATGAAACAGCCATATTTTCATTAGTACATAAAAACACACTATAATAGACCCAAGCAGATCTTTTTAGAAGAAAAAATCCAGGATCTTTTGAGCAATTGTATTGCTCAATGTACTTGTATTCACCCAATGTAATCAGTTAGTACCCAGAGCAGGATTACCTATTTTGATTGTTATACTCAGTTGTATTTATATTAAAGGCAGCAGTTTAGTCCAGAAGAGTTAGACCTTCCTATTACTGAAAAGCTTTCTGAAAATATCAAGTCATATGAATATGAGATTTGAATTTTAAATCATAAATACTGTAGATCAATGCTTCCCAAACCAAGGTAAATTATCCAAAAATTGGGTAAAAATGGTTCTTCTTTGGGTAACAACACACAAGCCCATTACCCATCATAACGAGAACATTTAAATTGACTTAAAGATTGCCAAATGCACTAAAATATGTTCAAACATGTCCCAAGTATTCCTTTGTTTTGTCTGATTCTTCAAGACTGCCTAAACAAGTCCCTGAGGTTTTCTTAGCAATATTTTTTCAGAAGTGATTTACCATTGCTTCCTTTCGTGGGCTGAGAGAAAGTGATTGGTCCAAGGTCACTCAGGTGGCTTTTTGCCCAAAGCAGAAGAGAGCTCATGAACTCATGATTTATAGCCTGATACGTCAATCGCTACATCAAACTAAACTTCTCTAAAGTATTCCTACTAGGTTTCCCCAAAAATAAGACCCAGTCTTATTTTTTATTTTTTTGCCTGCAAAAGAGGCACCAGGTCTTATTTTCAGGGAATGCCTTTTCCACGGTCTCACCTTGCAGCGGCGGCACTGACAGTCCCACCCTGCCAGCTCACTTCTTCTGTGGCCGCTTGTGCAAGCGCGTTGCCCCCAGCCTCCATTTCGCCATCAGGGGTCTTCAGGAAATGCCTTTGTAGCAGAGACCTTTCCTGAAGACCTCTGATGGCAAAATGGAGGACGGGGGGCACTGCACCTGTCAATCGGAGCTCCATTCTCAGCTGCAGTGGCATTTCCTGAAGGCCTCTGATGACAAAATGGAGGCCAGTAGTGACGCACATGCACAAGCGGCAGCCACAGAAGTGGGTGGCTAGGCAAGGAGGGTGACAGACTGTGGGAGGCCTGGCTACAACGGTAAGCAGGTACGGGGCACATAGGGTAGCTCCACCCCCACCCCCTAGCTTGATTTTTAGTCTTGCGCCTTGCCCAAAAAGTAGGACTTATTTTCGGGATAGGGCTTATTTTTGGGGTAGGGCTTATTTTCGGGGGGGAATAGTATTAAGACAAAAATTGATGAAATTACTAATGGACATTTGTTGAAATTACATAAAGATCATTCAACGATATTTTTATATCGTTTTATAGCTCTTGACTGTTCAAAGTTACAATGGTGCTGAAGGAAGGGATTTATAACCATCCCTTGAAATTTGGTAAGACTTTCTGATAAGTGGTTTGATAATAAGGGAAAACATTTGGTACTATAGATCCATTTGAGACCAGAATATTTGACAGAGAACATTTTTCTTGCTACAGGTGTGGCCTATGACTTACACAATAAACGTTAATGAAATTTAGAAATATTTCTGGCTTCCGGTTCTGTGCAGTTTAGCGCAACAGCCAAGGGATTGCAGGCTCCACGCCCTAAGGCTGATTTCTTTCTGTTTGGGGACCCTAAATGGGCCAAAAGCCTCCCCAGAGAGGTGGCAAGGAAGGAGGGAAGCCCCATCAATCCTGGGGAGACGGCCGTCAATCCGGATGTCTGGGGAAAGCTCTCCAAAAACCGGCAGAAGAAAGGCTGGCATCATTCATGAATCTAGCCCAAGCTACATGCAGCCGAAGCCAAAAAGCACTAAACTAAGTGTGATTGTAAACAGCGTGACTGAACTGGTTAAGAATATTGATTTTCTCTCTCCTACCTGACTGATTTCCTGAGGGGAAAAAAAAACCCCAGCACTAAAAATTCTCCGAAAGTGAGGGGGGGGGTCTTTGTTTCACCCTCATCTAAACGGAAGCAGCGAATTAAGTTTACGGGGGGAAAAACTGAAAGATGGACTGGTGCTGACATCTAGTGGTGGATGAAAATACTGCCCTAAATATACAGTCCAAAAAGAGAAGTCTGTTATCGTGACCTTCAAGGTATTGATTAAACAAAGAACAGCTGGACTATCTACAAAATGAGAACTACAAAACTTAGAAAAAATTGACCTTCCAGGATTATAAATATTTTTTAAATTGCAAGTTTAAAGTGATTGGCAGAGAAACGACTTTTGGTCACTATGGAGCATCAGAGATCTGCAGAAAGAACATACCAAGAAAAAATAAATACTTACCAGGAGGAAAAGTTTGTTCTGTTACAACAAATGCAAATGATATTAACTTCAAACCATAAGGAAATTAAAAATGAATTTGAAAATTTAAATGAATGCATTCTCAATTTAACATCACAACAATCAAATGATCAGAAAACAAAAAATGAGAGAGATCATGTAAAGCAGACAACTGAACATAAGCTAGTGGAGACTCAAGTGGAGAAGGACTTACAAGAATCATTGAACATTGAAAAGATAACTCTAAGATCACAAAGTAAATTTGAGAATAAGGAAAAAGATTTGACAAAATGGATTGCTGAGCCGTTGGGAGTACCACAAGAAATGGGGAGACAAGGGATGATGAGAGAAATCTTCAATGAATATGAAGGGGCAAAATCTTTTTACAAAGACATCATGTTTGATTTGTCTACTATATCCACAACAACATTTACAAGATTATGGAAAGACTCTTTGATGCAACGGAATATATTGATTGGGAGAGATGCTTGGCAAAAGAAGAGGGCTAAAGTGAGAATTGAGGAATTAGATAATGGGATGTATCAGAGGGAATATTTAAAAATTAAACACTTGTTTAAATATGGTTGAAGAAATTGAAAGATTTTAGTTTAAGAGGGATGAACTCTCTAAGTAAGACAGTATTTTTTTCTTTTATTTTTTTCTTTTGTTTTTCAATATGAGAACTATAAAAATGTGTGGGATGATTAACATAAAGGAAATGTTTTAGAGATTTAAATGTAATTGATTTTAAGAAAATTCCAATGGATAACTAAAAATGGGAAAAATGTTTTGAATAGTTAAAAGATTAGATGATTGGATTTATTAAATGGAACATTTAAAGATTAAACATAGGTTTAATTATGGGTAAAAAGAACAAAGAATTTGGAAATAAGTGTATACCAATTCAAGAGGGATACGTATTTTAAGTAGTATATTATTTTCTTATTTTCTTTTTCTTTCCTCTACTTTTTTCTTTTTTCTCTCTCACATCTTTTCTTTTTCTATGTCTTTCTTTTGTGTCTTTTTCTTACTTATTTTTTAAGATATGAAAATAGATTTAAATACTATAAGGTAATTAATTCTGGGAAAATTTTAACCAGTAGAAATGTTTTGAACATTGTAGAGAAAATAAATTTAAATAATAATTGTAAACAGGATTTGTGACGTGGCAACCAAGATGACCAGATAAAAAAGAAGCATGATATTGATGAGATTATTATTGGTAGAAATTTTAGAAAAACCTTTATATTTAATTGTTACTTATCAAATTAATAAGAATTGTATTAATTTAGGTTGCAAAGATAATATTATTGGAAGACGAGAAAATCAAGCAAAGCTACAATGTGGATTTTGGAATATAGAAATTAATTGATAATGATTACTTTGTAAATATAAACCCAGACAACATGCTGTTTACCAAATATCAAGATGTTTATATTAAAAAAATCAATAAAATATGTTTTAAAAAAAGAAATTTAGAAATATTTCTCTATAAAATACATCCACAATTCTTGTTGTACAACATTAACAATTGATTTGAAGAAAAATTTAAAATATTTGAAAAAAAAATCAACAGCAGTTAAGGATGCCATTGATAAATTAGGTGATGGAGTGAAAACAAAATATAACCAAAATCTTTGATAATTGAGTTGAGAAATTGAGATAATTGAGAAATTCTTATATTCAGCAAATCCAAATTCAAATAATGTTATAGCACAGTGGTGGCGAACCTATGGCACAGGTGCTAGAGGCGGCACTCAGAGCCTTCTCTGTGGGCACGCGCGCTGTCGCCCCAGTCCTAGGCCTTCAGCTGGGTTTTATAAAACTTTTCCGGTTTAGGCCTCCGCCACCATGTGCAAAAAAAAAAAAAAAAGGTTCAATCAGTCAATTTCAACTTCTCGTGGGGGAAAAAAAGGTCTTGCAAAATTGGAATTGATTGATTGAACTTTTTAGTCCCACCCAGTCTGCCGTTACCACGGCAGCCACGCCCACCCAATGGGCCACACCCACCCAATGGGCCACACCCACCCGGTACTCGACGATGCATAAGTAGGTTTTGGGTTGCAGTTTGGGCACTCAGTCTCTAAAAGGTTCGCCATCACTGCTGTAGCATTATAGAACCAGCTACTAATTCAATATATGTAGGGAGAATATATAAAACTGTGTTTTTTCCACTGAAATGGCTACCATTGTGTCATAAATCTAAAAATATCCATTTAGCATTTTATCTAAGGAAAATGGTATATCTAGATTTATTCAACAGACAATACCTCTCTAAGACTTCAGAGAAAAATCTTGTCCTTAATGTTATTCCAACCCAGTTACTTTTTATACTACAAAATGCCAAGAATTAATCTTAAATCTTATTATACAAACCCAGTGTTTTCATACTCAACTTATCTCTTGCAATGAATTCTATAAAATTAGGCCAGTTGCTCATCCATATGGAGAAAACTGCATATGTAGGTTTCTGTCACCAGAATGTGAGACATAAAGACAGACATAATAATCAGTAGCATATTGTGCAGTGTGGGTTTTCTCACCTTTATGAAAATGTCTACTTCCAACTGAGTCTCTTCAGTGCTAATGAGATACACTCTTATTGTGTTACTCCACAAAGAGTGGGAAAACAAAGGAGTGACTTGCAATAAACTGGCAACAGCTGCATCCCAATCATCTGTAAAGAACAAAAGATAAAGAACATCAAGCCAAACTTTCTCCTCTCCCCATTACCAACCACTCATGGAGATTCAGTGTCCCATTCCTACAGTTCATCCTTTTCTCTTTGCATTATGGTGCTTGGAATTTGCTTCTCGCTCTTCCAATTCAGCTGCCATAACAACATGCTGTCACAGCAGCTGGGGAAAGGGTTTGAAAAATTGCTGAGATGTTGTCATTTCACCTTCACAACTCATAGAGGCAAGGGCAACAAGCAGCTTTGGAGAATTTCAGTGCTTTTGTTGACACGTTTTCAGTGCATCTTCTGTCACACAGCTTCTATTATAGCAATCTGATTTTCTTTTGCAAACTTTACAAATAAATGTACTGCAAACATGGGAAGATGCTAGCAATTTATTTCCTTTTTGTGTAGTATGCGAGAGCAAAGAAGATTTTTATTACTTCATAGCCAAAAGTAGCTCAGACAACGGGAAGCTGATTAGATAGCACTCTTTGCACTCTTTTATTAGTTAACTGGGTCTCTTGGCTCATTTCTCACATTCTCCACACTAAGTGCTGGTGCTAAGAAAGTGCCTAAAGCTGTATCTTCTAAAAGATTTCCTATAACAATGTTTTCTGCTTGTTATATACACACTATCAAATATTGGCTTTACTTTTAAGAAAATTATTTCTGTATGTATAAGCACAGCTAAATTTTAATAATTAGTAGGCAGAAACATATAGTTCAGAATTACTGATCAAGAAACTTGCTTGAGTTTATGCTGGATTGAGACTCCTTCCTATGTTTTATCAAATTTTATTCACTGCAGGTTTAATATTTCATACGTATAGCTTAAAAATGAAGATCACTTAGAAGACAAGGGAAGAATGAAAACATTCTGTGCCAATTATGGACAAAATGATACTATGCTTTAAAAGAAATGAGTTTCACAGACATACTGGCTTTAAAAGAAAAAGAAAAATAATAAGAAGAACAAATTCTGTCAGCAGATTACATCTTACCTGATATTGCTAGTCATCTATAAAGAAAGATTTGATCTGATACAGAAAGCAGGTTCATACAAATATCAATTCTTTACCAACATTAAATATCTTTACAGATGAAACACTACATATTTTTGAATTCCAGCTTTACACTCCACTAGCCTAGAACTTTACAATATTTAGGTTTAGGCTTTCAGCAGGGCTTATTGTTGTTACTTTCATTCTTGCTTCAAGGAGCAGCAAATGCTTACCTCTATTGATATTTGCAAATGGTCCTTCCACATCTATGGAACTATGTGCAAACTCAGGTCCTCTAAAAGACTGCTGAAGCTGCATCATGCTGCCCATGGAAGGCTCACTTCCCAAGGCTCCTCCCATCCAATATTCTGTCTGACTTCCAGCAGCTTAAAATAAAGTAAACAAAGGCCAATTCAGCAAATTAAACTTAATCAGAACTACAGTTATTCTTCAGAAGCAAAGAACAGGAAAGCAAAGGGAGTTTTCTGAATGGAAACTAATGGAGTTGAAGTTAAAAAAACATGTCATTATAAAATATACTTTGGCCTGAAGCTGAAAGATACAAAAAAAGTTGTTCTCTAGTACAGCGGTTCTCAACCTATGGGTCACGACCCCATTTGGGGTCGATCGACCATTTCACGGGGGTTGCCAAGCAAGGCTGTCCGCCATTTTTTTCCCCTTTTCCGGCGGGTGCCTTACCTCCCTTGAGCTGGGCCAGCTGGTGGTCGGCCTGCTCCGTCTCTGCTGCTTGCCAGCTACGCCTCGGCCGGTGCAGGGGGCGGAACCACGCATGCGTGGCACTCCCGGGCAGGGAAAGTCCTCGACTTACGACCGGTTGGGTAGTCCTCGACTTACGACCGATTTAGTCCTCGACTTACGACCGGTTTAGTCCTCGACTTACAACCGGTTGGGGGTCGCGGCATTAAAAAGGTTGAGAACCACTGCTCTAGTAAATATATTATTATGGTGGTGGTGGTGGAAGTTTCCAGAATATTATGAAAGCCTTCCTCTCCTGTCCCAAATATTCTTACTAATCAGGCAACCATAATCAGAAATAAGATTTGAAAATCCTAAACTGGACCAGATCTGATTAATATTTACATGGATGTCCAAGTGCTTTAGGAAATTCCAGAGTTATGGACTAGAAGTAGGAACTCTACAAATCTTCCCGAACGCCAGTGATAACTTACTTCAATATTACTGTCAAGTTTGTTTCTTCAGTTTTTAATCTTAAAAAAATGATATGCCCATATCAAGGTACTGCCTTTGCATTAAGAAAGTTCAATTGTCATGGTTTTTTAAATGGAAAGGAGGGAAGAAGAAGACACTATTTGAAAATAGCAAAAAAATGAAGTGGTTTGTTTAAAGGATTAAGCAAAAATCAGTTTAGCTATTGTTATTGCTTAGAAGTTATTTTGATTTTTTGACAGAATTTTTTTGTCTATTTCAGTTTACACTGCACAGATTTATATAAATAAACATCTCTATGCAACTGGTAAAAGCAATTTAATTCATACCAGTAATTTCTGTACAGCTGTCATCTGAATCTGATTCTTCAGGATCAAATATTTGGATACCCTGAGCTTGTAACCTCTGAAGTTTTGCTTCAAGCTCTCGCTTGGCCCTCAGTAGATCCTGAATTTCATTTTCCTTGGTTTCTCTGAAAATCTATAAATGAAGAAAATTCTGAGCAAGTGTATCAAAATATTGTATTCTATGCATGAAATTAATATACCTTTTCAATTGTTTAGCCTTTCTCCCTAGGTTTTAAGCAACAGAACCCCAATTACCTATCAATTTGTGTAAATAAAAGGAAAATATGTAGAAACAAGGGGGCTTGCAATAATTTTTAATATAAAGTGATCCTACTCGAGGTTACAGGCCATCAATCTCGATTTCTAAGATACTCTCCTGTTCCAAACATTCTATGTGTCCTTTCCTAGGTTGTTTAGGAAGAGGAATTCTACCGTCAACAATTTTATTTCTAAATAATATTTATACTTAAGCAAAGCTTAGGGTTCTCCTAAACATGCAGCTACGCCTCATTTATCCTGCAAAGTCAATAAATGGAATTATTTACTTTGAACTGCCTCCTGACTTTGTCACGATCATGTTCAAATGTAGCCGCTCTTTCCATAGCTTGGTATTTGGCCTCTACAGCACTTTCCTTTTCTCTGAGGATTTTCTGATATGTTTTCTGAAGTGCCTGGGGGTGAGGAAAAAGTGACATTGTTAACTCCTGGTCTGAAAAAATTCATTTATTCACTCTGTTAATTTGTTAGATGTCACAAAGCTCTTCCTAAATCCCCAAAGTGTAATTTGAATACATTTGATCTTTTAATCCAGGGTTTAAATGGCATTCCAAATACAGTTTATCTACAACTTTTAGCATCCGATTACTATTAGCTATTCTGGATGAGTCTGGTAAGAATTACAACACAGAAAGATGGCCACAGATTTCTATTTTAATGGAAAGCTTCTTTTTGTCAGTCCTGGTGTCAGTGCCCCATGCAGATACCTGAAGTTCTGCCCTCAGGCGTTTGTTTTCTTTGTCCAGCTTGGTCTCTTTCTTCATCATGGCAGCCACCTCATTGTTCTTGCTAATGCGAAAGATCTCATATTCCTTTTTCAGGCGCTCATACTCTGCCATGCATTCCAGCTCTTGTACAGAAGCAGTAGATTTGAAGCTTGCGCCAATGAGGCCTCCAGGTCGGGATGCACCTACCCGTCGAAAAGAACTACGCAAAAGACGGGCCTTGGGCTTTACTTCAACAGGAATTTCGCAGGCCTCACCACCCCCTCCCTCATATGGATCTTCAATCACCTCCCCAACAGTGACCATTGGATTAACCAAAGATGAAGCAGACCCCATAGCTGAAGAACTCCCCTTGTGCACACGCTTTTTTTAATGGCAGATTCTCTTTAATGCCAAAATCTACCACTGCTGCTTAACACTTGGGCCCAGGACATAGTGCCAAATCACTTTCTTTCTTCCTGCCTAGTTATTCATAAATGATTGGATGCTTTTATTCCAACTAGACTGCTGGTTTTTAAGATTGACAAATACTTAAATTTATGTGTGCAAAGCAGTAATATCCTCCCCAGTGGAATTAAAAAAATAGGAATTCTTTTAAAGGCTTATAGATGAGAGTACAGGGTGCTGCACATAATACGGATTTCATTGAGAAGACTGTTACCACTACAGACTCATATTCATTAACATAGGTAACAACTCTCGGAACAATCATATAAAGGAAACGTTCCTGTTGTCCTCTTATTACTGCCAGTTTACTGCTGTTCGTTCACAGGAGACAGTGGCTTAAGTTGCCAGCTTTCCACACATTTCCTTGGAATTAAAACTAACTGAACCCTTATCTCCCTGAGCTGGGATTTCTGTCTTAAGTAATCAAAGCAAACTATCCAGCAAACGCGTACAAAGCTCTCCAGCCGAGTGATTAAAGGGCTGCTGCAAATATTCTTCCTGTCGTTTTCCCAATAACAAGTAAGGTTACCTCGGTCACCAAAAGCTTACCCCCGTCTGTCCTATTATTTCCCATGCTATCCCTTGTTCATTTGGTTCGGAAAAATGGAAGAATCGAAAAAGAGGGAATCGTTCTCCAAGCAAATGGAGAGTCAGTGTAGAGAGTTTTACTCCGGAGCTTCCCAGAAGAATCCCTTAACTTTCCAGAAGCTAAAGGAATGTCGACGAGCAATGAAGAAACAGTCAACTAGCCAAGCAACTTGCTCGCTTGCTCGCTCCCACCTCGGCCTCCTTCCGCTGAGCTGTAACCCATGCGCTGCTGCCCGGGAAAACCTTCGGCCAGGGGGTGGGCAACCAAAGCAGCAGGAGAAAGGAAGTAGGCAGTGACGTGGCAGCTTTCTCCCGGGCAGCTGCAACGGACTGAGGCGCTCTCGTGGGAAGAAAGAGAAGCGCCAACTTTCGTTGTCTTTTCGTGACTTAGGTTCCACGGCCCAGGCTCGCCGAAAAAGAAAGCATTCTCTGGGCACTTGCGGAAAAGGCTTGGGCGGGTCTTGGGAGCCGAGATTTTCCAACTTAGCGCCCCTTCGGGATGTTTTGCAACACAATGCCTATCAGTCTGCAGTCGAAGCACGGCAATTCTAGCAACAGATGACAAAAGTTATACAATAGCCCCGCGTTTTTCGAAGGTGCTTTTCTCGACGACGCTGTCAGAGAATTGTCTCCACTTCAGACTGCAGGGTGGGAGGAAAGATTTCTAAAACAAAGGAAAAGCCGAGAATTGTCTCCACTTCAGACTGCAGGGTGGGAGGAAAGATTTCTAAAACAAAGGAAAAGCCGAGTCACACACAATGAATTTTGCATTGGGCTGGAGAAAGCCCATTATATCAATTTAAGTTACAATTTAAGTTTTTTTATTTCAGGCAGACAACCTGAACAGATTTAAAAGTTACTACGTTTTATGGAAAAAGTATGCAAAATTCCTCTTAGTTTCAATGGAAGAGGAGGTGAGAAAATAACAGAAGAAGCGGAGAGCGGGGAACAAAAGCCATTTACATCACCTTTCTATCATTGCAGCAAATGTTTTAGATCGCTACTGCAAAATATAGTTGTCACAAGAGCAAAATCCCATTTGGAATTTATAGGCTAAAATAGGCTTATTCTCAAATATGTCTGAAATGAAGTTTTGAGTAATCACAGAAACAAGCTACATTCGACCCCCCCCCTCCCCAATATATAATCCCAATACCCAGATTTATTGTGTACTGTCTTCAAAGGGAATGAAAATAAATCATGTTAGGAATTAAGAGACTTTTGACTATCCTTTCACAATTCAGCTAGCAAATTTAAACCGGCAAGAATTAGTTATTATATCCTTTAGTGTAATGTAACAAGACATCCAGCTGTTCATAGTTTTGAACAGCTGCTGAAACCCCAGCTTTAAAGATAAGGGTCGTTTACCTTATAAAGAGCTTTAACTAATCCTGACAAATAAGAAACTTAGCTGCTGGCAAATGTGATCCTTTTCAATCCATCTTCCTGGTAGCTGTTCCATACAATGATAGCTATTCTGTGTAACATGTTGCTTGTAAATATGTGTTATACATTTATTATAAGTGCATTCTCCTCAAATTACAATTGACTCCTAACAGAAGTTTACTAAGTATTACTAAGCCAGTTTTTCCAGAAGTGACATGCAAAAGAAAAGAATGGTGTATGCCTTCAGAAGACAAATGCAAGCAGTTAGGTGCCCTGATCATCTTCACTATGCTCAGATTTATTGACTGCCAATTTCTGAGGCTGGCAACCTGATGGATAAAGCCCTTAAGGCTTAGCCTTAAGTCCAAGTCCTTAACCAAAATAGTGCCAGTATTTGAGGTTTTGCTGAATTTAAGCTGAATTACATTTAAGCTGAATTACATTTTAAACCTTTATACAAAATAAATAATTGCTTTCATATATGCATACCAATATTAATGTAACACATTGGGTTTGTGATATATTTTGATCCATAGTGTTTGCACTCTGAACCAATAGATCATGTTGATGGTTATCGTAAGTAATCATTTTTGTAAATAAATAAGACTCTTAATGACCTCTGCTTTGTAAACGTCACCCCAGGATGATATAAAAATTCCAAATGCTGAACATCTGATAGAATCTAATGAGACTTCAAGGAATTTAATTTCTGAATAAACATACGTAGTGTTTCTTGTTATTTAGCAAGTTCAGGGGCTGACAGCGAATAACCATTCACAAAAAGGATTGCCACAGAGCATGCCCTGTTACAAACATACACCCCCCCCCAAAAGGCAGCTATATATAGAGGCTAGAAGCTGCCAAGGGAGAAATCTGAAGGTACATTGGAACCAATGAGCTCCATATTGAAACACACACTCTTCTTATGCCTGTATATTGAGAATGGTTTTTGAAGTTGGTTGGGAAAGATATACAGTGGCAAAATCTATTTCTTTTATTATATGGTACTTTCTTTTTCTGAATATGAATATGGTAGGATTTAAAATAACTAATTGTTTTAATGTAGTAGCATTCTTATTTCACCACTGAACACAACACAACACAAGCACAACGTTCCATAGTATAACTTTCATAATAATACCTTAATGTTCATTATTAAACAATACTTCTAATTTCAAAAGTTTATATTGTATTGGTGGCAGTGCAACCCAGAAATGGAAGTAGTCTTACCTATGTAATCCTAACACATTGATAGGCATAACTCTGTTGAACTACTAGAGCAGAGGTCCCCAACTTTTTGGGCACCAGGGACCGATTCTGTGGAGAAAGATTTTTCCGTGGACCAGAGAAGGTATGATTTTGTGTGCTGCCTGCATCCAGTAGATGGGGCTTCACTTCTTTGCACGGCCCGGTTGCTGGTATGCTGCGGCCCGATGCCAGTCCACGGACCGGGGGTTGGGGACCCTTGTACTAGAGCAGGGCTTTTCAACCTTTTCACCCATTGTACCACTTTTAGGATATGGCAATATCCGAGTACCACCAGACGCCTAGCAATGTGTTAAAAACTTGATGACCCAAAAAAAAAAAAAGGAAAAAAGTGATAAAATACAGGTAGTCCTCGACTTACAACCGTTTGCTTAGTGACTGTTCAAATTTACAATGGCACTGAAAAAAGTGACTTATGACCATTTTTCACACTTATGACTGTTGCAGCATCCCCAGGGTTTTGTGATTTACATTCAAATGCTTGGCAACTGATTCATATTTATGATGGTCCCAGGGTCACATGATCCCCTTTTGCAACCTTCTGACAATCAAAGTCAACGGGGAAACCAGATTCACATAAGAACTGTGTTACTAATTTAAAAATTGCAGTGATTCACTTAACAAATGTGGCAAGAAAAGTCATAAAATGGGACAAAACTCATTTAACAAATTTCTCACTTAGCAATATAAATTTTGGGCTCAATTGTGGTTGTATGTTGATGACTATCTGTACACTCACTTGTGCCTGTTTCTCTGACATTAATCTTTGCACTGTTCTATCCCCTTCTCTCCTTCTGGTTGACTCAAAGAAGCCGATAGGTGATTGCAGGGTCTTTGGGGGGGGTGCGGCTTCTTCTGTTGAAGTGGGGGCATGGGGGGTTGTCGGGGTGCTAGTTGGCTATCCCCCAAAGATTCCCTAACTTTAAAACAGCTCTTGGGTGGCAACAGTTACCCTAGCATGAGGAGCTCAGGAGAAAGAGATGCCGGCAATGCTAACTTGATGTTAATTCTTCTATTATTATTGTATTTTTATATTCTATACCTCATTCTTATTACTATACATATTTCATATTTATTCAACTGATACATATATCTCACTTATACATATATGTCTCACTTACTTTTATGTTTTATATCATACTTCTTTGGCTTTCAATAATAGAGTTTGCTTTGATTTGCTTTGATTGTTTTTTATTTGATTTAAGACATTCCTTGATTTGATTTTCTGAAACTTTCTACCATTCTAGGATTTGCTTGGAATTGTAATGAAAAGTCTGTACTTTGTCTTACAAATATAGCTACTAAATTGTGATAAAATGCATTTTGTAAATGCAATTATTCAGATGAGTCTAATTTGGAACCTTAGCTTGTAAGTAGCAAATCACTGAAGATGCCAATTGTAAGTTTTTATTAGATGTACATCATACACAGAATGGGGACAAAACCCTTGGAAAAATGTAGCTCATTTAAATTCTGCCCTCCTGGATCAGTGCTGATACATTTGCATTGTTTTTCTCACTTCATAGTATTAACACACTAGAAGAGTAATGCATTAGAGTCTTAGAAATAACCTTGAAACTCATCATATTTTTCTCCCAACAAATCTAAAGAGTTCTTTCATAACAAAAAAAAATTCTTCTCTTCCTTTGTACTTCCTTTGTTTTGAAAGAGTTAATAGCAACATATCACTATCAGGATTTTGAAAACCCAGGGGAAAGAAAATGTTCCCTTTTCTATTTTGAATATGGGATATTTAAGGCTGAAAATAGTTACTAATTCATTGCCAGAAAAGCATGATTGCAGTGTTTCCTCCACGATCTCCAAAAGGAATCCTAAATAATTTTTCAACATCTAGGGTTCTCTGGATAAATTTGGACTGCAGATCCCAGCATTTTC